AAAGAAGGGAGGGGAGGGGAGGGGAGGAGCAGTGGTGGTCAATGGGTTCAAATATGGTACACAGAGAGGGAATTGCCCTTACCCAACATTGGATGGCTTAAAAAGCTTCATTAGAGAGTACAAAGGGATGTAGATAATTATTATACTCTATTAGTACTACCCTGCCTCTGCTGGTACCATCTACCATGTATCCAGAGGTTTTTTACATTGTAAATTTTAAACTGTGTAGCAATTGTTTGATAGATTATGGACATACTGGGTTATTAGTTTTATGTGTTGGTTCATGATGTATTTGAATATTTTGCTGGAGAGACTGAAGAAATTATTATTAGCTGTGGCAGTATTTGGTTCAATATTCAGTTCTGCTTTGATACTTCAAAATTCCAATACAGTTCCCAATTAATTCTATTTGCCTCACATTTCAGTTCTTACCATTTTTATCATTGGATGCAGTAATTGATCTTTTATCTACTTTTACCACTTCAGGACAAATTAGCATTTTTAGGAGGGAACAGACAGTGGTGGATGATGGTCCCTATGCCACCAGGCTGACAGATCTGCTTGGGGTTGAGTTGAAACTTTACAACACCTATGCCTGATGCTGATCCAGAACGTTTGGAGCTTGAACTATAAGCTGGAATGGATTCATGACCCAACTGAAATGGAATTCACTCGTAGGTAGACAGATGACAAGCTGTTTAACCTCAGCAGACTGAAAGCCAAAACCAAGGTGACACCAACATCTGGTACAGAACTCCAGTATGCTGATGACAACATCGTCTGTGAACATTCAGAAGAAGATCTACAAGCCACTCTAAACACCTTCGCAAAAGCATACGAGAAGCTCGGCCTGTCATTGAACATCGAGAAAACCAAAGTGCTCTTCCAGCAGTCACCAGCCAATCCCTCTCCAATGCCAGAAATACAGCTTAATGGTGTAACATTAGAAAATGTTGACCATTTCCACTACTTTGGCAGCCATCTCTCTACCAAAGTCAACATTGACACCGAAATACACCGCCTGAGCTCTGCAAGTGCAGCATTTTTCCGAATGAAGCAGAGAGTGTTTGAGGACCGGGACATCCGTAGGGATACCAAGGTGCTTGTATATAAAGCCATTGTCCTCCCAACCCTGCTATACGCCTGCAAAACATGGACTGTCTACAGATGTCACATGCCACTCCTGGAATGATTCCATCAGCGCTGCCTCCGGAAAATCCTGCAAATCTCTTGGGAAGACAGGCGGACAAACGTCAGCGTGCTGGAACCAGCAAAGACCACCAGCACTGAAGCGATGATCCTCCGCCATCAACTCCGCTGGACCAGCCACGTTGTCTGGATGCCCGAAGCACCATCTCCCAAAGCAGTTGCTCTACTCCAAACTCAAGAACGGAAAATGGAATGTTGGTGGACAGGAAAAGAGATTTAAAGATGGGCTCAAAGTCAACCTTAAAAACTCTGGCATAGACACTGAGAACTGGGAAGCCCTGGCCCTTGAGCACTCCAGCTGGAGGTCAGCTGTGACCAGCAGTGCTGCAGAATTTGAAGAGGCACGAATGGAGGGTGAAAGAGAGAAATGCCAAGAGGAAGGCACGTCAAGCCAACCCCGACCGAGACTGCCTTCCACCTGGAAACCAATGCCCTCATTGCGGAAGAAGATGCAGCTCAAGAATAGGGCTCCACAGCCACCTACGAACTCAGCCAACGAGTCCTCGGCCAATGAGGAATTGCCTAAGTAAGTAGACAGGTTACAATGAAAACTAAAGTATGCAATTCAATTGTACATTTCCAATTAGCTCCATTGCTTCTTCTTGAAAAGATGACAAGAAAGAAAGAAAGAAAGAAAGAAAGAAAGAAAGAAAGAAAGAAAGAAAGAAAGAAAGGACAGATAGTTAGATATGGAAGGCCTCCAACTACTCACAATTGCTGTGAGGGGTCACAAAGAAAGGCCTCTGCATTTATTGATACAAGGATCATTATGACATTCTATTCAATAGCGCTAATCGCCTCCGCTTAATCAACCTATTAGCGAGGAGCAACAGTTTTGAAAAGTTCCCTTGCATTTGCAAAATGAATAGCTTTCCGCCACGTTCAGCCTAGCAGAGACGCACAAGGAGACTATTGATCAAACTGTGCTGAGTAAATTGGGAAACAAAGGAACTTTTGTAAAGGTTAATACTATCATATAACAGGACACCAAGTACATATTCTGCCAGGTGCGCTCCCCCGCTAGGGAGATCCTGAGATCCTGGAGCTCCCAATAAGGCTCAGAGAAATGGGAAAGCGATCAGCATTTCTCAGGAAGTACTCAGCACCTTGAAAAACAACGTCCCGATTTAGCCGAAGTCACCTTTCTAAAGAGGGTGAGTGGAGAAATCCTCCGGCAAAGTGAAGTCTCCAATTACAGACCTCATAAAGGATCACAATTTACATAGGCACTGAAGTTCAAGCTTTCACAATCATTAGGATGATATAGAAACCGTTTACTTCTCGGTCTCTCTCTCTCGCTCTCTTTTTGAAGTGTAATTTCATACCATCCACCGCTTTCTCATCCACATGAACTCACCAGGAACCTATCTGCCCATACCCCCTTGTCCACTTTCAGTTCTCCCACTCCATCATCTCAAGACTGATTTGGGACCGAAGAGCACCCAATGCCAATGTTTAATGTGAAAGGCAGCTCACATGAACTTCTCTCCTTGGGAAAATCATGCAAGTGGGAACTAGAAGATGTGAAGCATGGGCCATCACACAGTAATGAAAAAGCACAAGATGGTAATATAGGGTTATCACTTCATGACACTTTAGAGCAGTGGTTCTCAACCTTGCTAATGCTGTGACCCCTTAATGCAGTTCCATATGTTGTGGTGACCCCCAACCATATTATTGTTTTCGTTGCTACTTGATACCTGTCATTTTACTACTGTTATAAATTGTAATGTAAATATCCAATATGCAGGATGTATTTTCATTCACTGGACTAAATTGAGCACAAATACCCAATATGCCCAAATGTGGATGCTAGTGGGGTTGGGGGGAGGATTGATTTTGTAATTTGGGAGTTGTAGTTGCTGGGATTTATAGATCACCTATAATCAAAGAGCATTCTAAACCCCACCAGCGATTGATTTAAACTGAACTTGGCACACAGAACTCCCATGACCAACAGAAAACACTGGAAGGGTTTGGTGGGCATTGACCTTGAGTTTGGGAGTTGTAGTTCACCTATATCCAGAGGAGTGCTGTGGATTCATGCAATAATTGATCTGGACCAAACTTGGCACAAATACTCAGTATGCCCAAATTGTGAGCACTGGTGGAGTCTGGGGAAAATAGACCTTGACATTTATGAGTTGTAGTTGTTGGGATTTATAGTTCACCTACAATTAAAGAGCATTCTGAACTCCACCAACAATAGAATTGGGTCAAATTCCCACACAGAATCCCAATGACCAACAGAAAATACTACCCCTTTGACACCTCCTCTCGACCCCCTCAGGGGTCCCGACCCCCAGGTTGAGAAACACTGCTTTAGAGGGACTATTTGTCCATCTAACTTTCCTAAGATCTATTCCCATTCACAGAATCTCTCAACACCATGTTGAAACATGGCTAATATCATGGCCAGCAACTTATATCTATAGCAGTAGTTCTCAACCTGTAAGTTCCCAGATGATTTGGCCTTCAACTCCCATAAACCCTAACAGCTGGTAAACTGGCTGGGATTTCTGGGAGTTGTAGGCCAAAACACCCGGGGACCCACATCTATAGTGTCTATGATGACTGGGACATTTCAGGAGTTTTAGTTCAAAAAAAGTAACTTTTTTGAACCATGCTCATACGAGGGTTGAATGAAAAGTAATGCCTCCACCTTCGTAACTCCTCAACAGATGGCAGTACTGGTATGTGGCGGGCTTGTTCAGTAGACTCTCCTCTACTGTTCCATTTTGGCAGGAAGCCTTAGCATTGAATGGTTCTGTTGTTAAAGTGCGAAGTATGGAACCCTGCGCAGACGGTCAGTCAATGCAGTCAATGAATTCTTGACAGCAGAATGTGTCACCCCAAAGGAGATTCATCAGAGAATGCAAGCTGTTTATGGTGAATGTGTTGATGTGAGTGCAGTGCATCTTTGGGCGAGTAAGTTTAAAGATGCTATTGTAATTTTAGAGTTTTTAATACTGGTAGCTAGATTTTGTTCATTTTCATGGTTTCCTCCTTTCTGTTCACACCTAGCTCCAACAGACAATAGTTCTTTGTCCCACCCTGGTCATTCCACAGATATATAGACCCATTTTCCTTGTTCCAACAGACCTCACTACCTCTAAGGATGCTTGCCATAGATGCAGGCGAAACGTCAGGCCTCTAGACCATGGCCATATAGCCCGAAAAAAATCTACAACAACCCAGTGATTCCGGTCATGAAAGCCTTCGACAATACAAAGATGATGATGATGATGATGATTATTATTATTATTATTGTTATTATTAAAACCACTAGGGAGAGCCAGAACTAGATTGCATTTGACAGACCACACCAATAAAGAGAGATGTCAAGCACATACACAACCCTCAAATGAGGCATCGAGATTTTGATAGATTTTGTTTTCCTGGCTCCTCATCAGCAAGTTAATTATAGCAACTTTTCACTCTACTTAAAGTGCTCCAGATAAGGCAAACAGCAGAATACATAGCTTGACTTGTTCTGTCTCATAGGCTCTTTTCTCTCTCCTTTTCCCCACTCCCTTGATTTTCGGAAAGATAGAAAGGGACAATAAGTGCTTACAGAGTGCAGGGAAGAAAGGGAAATAGTTTTGCGCATGACATGGTAAAGCTGCTAACACATTACATATGGAGATGCAAGGAAAAGGTTGACAGGTTCGGATACTTCTTTGTAGAAACATAGTGAGATGCCGGACAGCTGCGGGCAGGGGAGTTATGCAACTCTTCCAGCAAAATCTGGTTAATTTTCTCTTTTTTTCTCATCTACTTGCCTTACTCACCTTCACAGCAATAGCTGTAGACAGCCACCGTTGACCTTTCCACCAGATTTTCATCGTGATGCCAGCTCACGGCCATTTTCCCCATTCCGTAATAAGGCTCCTGTTTCAAGAACGGCATTTGTTGTGGATCCATATAATTTAATAACGTCAGGTTGTAAGACGTTCTCCCTTTCAGATTGGCGCAGTCATTCTTAGGGACATGAGAAGGGCTTTGATCTTGCAAAAAGGGCCCTGTCCCTGTAATGGGAGGCACATAATCCCGATGGCTATCGGTGACAGGAGAATCTTCCCTTTCTTTTGTCTCGGCCAAACTCTGCTCTCGCAAAGCCAGGACAGTTTCTCCATGCAAATAGTCATTAAGTTTGATTAATGCCTTACAAGCCTTGGATATTTCTGGATGGGAATAATTTATTTCATAACCTTCCACAGGCCACGGGACCGTAAATAACCTTGTGTTCAAATATTTGTAAGTACATCCAGGGTTTCCAATTAATATACGCGATACTGGGGTAACAAAATCTTTTCCTTTGATCCTTATGAGATCTCGGAAGAAGCAAGCACGCTCTCGGAGAGTCAAAAAGGCCTCTTGAACTCCTTGATGGACCTCTTTGGGGATCATCTCAGCATTTTTGAGGATGAGTTTGGAGTATTTTGTCTTCCACTAAAAAAAAGAAGGAGAAAAACACTTGTTTCTATTTTAAACATGAGACAGAGGCATAGTGGAAAGCTACAGTTAAGTTATTCATCAAATGAACAGAATTAATGCATGTCTAAATAAAGAAATGTTATTGGCTTATAAAATATAAAAGATAAAAGCAATTTGTCATCTGAGAGCCCCCTTCCCTTTTTTTGCCCGTTGTGACAATTGGCTGACTTAATAGAAGGTTACACATTGTTCTCAGTCGCTAACTGCTCAGGATGAATTCACCACCAAAGTTGACAGGACAAATTCTATTTCTAACAGCAAGCTTTGGGATCTGAAGGCAAATAATTTCTGCCAATTATTGTTGCTATGAGTTTTCCGAGCGGTATGCCCATGTTCCAGAAGCATTGTTGTGTGCCTTCAACTCCACTGGACCAGCCACGTTGTCCGGATGCCTGACCACTGTATCCCAAACCAGTTGCTCTACTCCGAACTCAAAAATGGAAAACGGAGTGTTGTTGGGCAGGAAAAGAGATTTAAAGATGGGCTGAAAGCCAACCTTAAAATCTCTGGCATAGACACTGAGAACTGGGAAGCCCTGGCCCTTGAGCGCTCCAGCTGGAGGTCAGCTGTAACCAGCAGTGCTGTAGAATTTGAAGAGGCACAAATGGAGGGTGAAAGAGAGAAACGTGCCAAGAGGAAGGCGTGTCAAGCCAACCCGACCAAGACCATCCTCCACCTGGAAACCAGTGGACTCACTGCGGGAGAAGATGCAGGTCAAGAATGTGGGTACCAGTCTATCTCTGGTACCCACATTAAACCCCAACATACAACAACAGACCCACTTTTTAATATCTGTGCTGCTAGAATTATTAATGTAGTAAGAGCCGTAATAGGCTCCACAGTCACCTACGGACCCACCAGAACACTGACCTTGGAAGACCATCCTACTCGGACATTAAGGGATCACCTAAGTAAGAAAGTAAGCTCAGGATGAATTCTCCACCAAAGTTGACAGGACAAAATCTATTTCTAACAGCAAGCTTTGCGATCTGAAGGCAAATCATTTGTGCCAATTATTGTTGTATGGGTTGCTATGAGTTTTCCAAGCTGTATGCCCATGTTCCAGAAGCATTGTTGTGTGCCTTCAAATTGGAGTGGACCTTGGCGACGTGTGAAGGGCAGCCCGCTGCTTCTGCCAGGACCATGAAACTGGCCCGGAAGGTGGTTCTCTCCCGGGCGAAGGCCACCAGCCTCAGTGGCATCCAGAAGCTCAATTGCTGGGGCAGCCGCATTGCAGATACTCAGTCTGCCTTGAGGTGTAGTTTAACCAAGGCAGAATAGAGGGGTAGCATTACTTCCCTGGATCTAGACACTATGCTCCTGTTGATGCAGGCCAAAATCCCATTGCCTTTTTTGCCGCCACATCACATTGTTGGCTCATGTTTAACTTGTTGTCCACGAGGACTCCAAGATCTTTTTCACACGTACTGCTCTCGAGCAATGCGTCCCCCATTCTGTATCTTTGCATTTATGTTCTTTTTTGGTTTGCAAAGCCAGGGATCATCAATCCATCAATCATCAATCCACCTCACCTGTATGGGATTACATACAGGGCCCTTCCACACAGCCATATAACTCAGAATATCAAGGCAGATAATCCACAATATCTACTTTGAACTGGGTCTCTGAGTCCACACTGCCATATAATGCAGTTCAGTGTGGATTTTATCCAGCCATGTGGAAGGGGCCACAGTGAACTAGATGGACCTTTGGTTAGATCAAAGATCCGCCTAGTCAAAGCCATGGTATTCCCTGTAGTAACCTATGGATGTGAAAGCTGGACCATAGGGAAGGCTGAGCGAAGGAAGATCGATGCTTTTGAACTGTGGTGTTGGAGGAAAGTTCTGAGAGTGCCTTGGACTGCGAGAAGATCCAACCAGTCCATCCTCCAGGAAATAAAGCCCGACTGCTCACTGGAGGGAAGGATACTAGAGACAAAGTTGAAGTACTTTGGCCACATCACGAGGAGACAGCAAAGCCTAGAGAAGACAATTATGCTGGGGAAAGTGGAAGGTAAAAGGAAGAGGGGCCGACCAAGGGCAAGATGGATGGATGGATGGCATTCTTGAAGTGACTGGCTTGACCTTGAAGGAGATGGGGTGGTGACGGCCAACAGGGAGCTCTGGCATGGGCTGGTCCATGAGGTCACGAAGAGTCGGAGAGGACTGAACGAATGAACAACAATTACGGCTCTTACTACGTTAACAATTCTAGCAGCGCAGATATTTAAAAATGGGTCTGTTGTTGTATGTTGGGGTTTAATGTGGGTACCAGAGATAGACTGGAAAAGTTCTGGCAACTCCCAATATGGCCATTGTGGCTGTGGGAGTTGTTAAAGTAACTTGTACAAATCAGATCTAAGATCTGAAAAGATTGGTTCCAGATGTATATAGATGAATACTGGTTGAAAATGTGACTTGGGAGACAGTTCCAAAATATTCATTGGCCTGCAGTTCCAACGTGTGCTAGCCCTGTCTGAGCAACTCCAGGTAGCCATCTGGACTTCCACAAAGAAGAGAAAGATTGTGTGAAACTGTCCCAGAGAAATGGAAGAATGGCAGGAGACACCATAAAAACCAAAGAAAGCCCTGAACTATGCATCTAATGGGAAATACACCACACTTGTAACATTTGACTCCCCCGTTAAAACGGGAAGCCAATGAAGTCCACATTTTAATGCCAGCTTTATGAAAAGGCATGTTACCTTTTGGCTTAAGAACTAAAGATTACATGCTCTGAAAGCATTTTATCAATATATCTTAAATGGTGACTGTGGGGTTCCTGCTCTTTAAAAGAACCCAATGTGTGTGTGTCTTACATTGCAATCTCAGAAGTTAAAAGGAAAAGGGGGGGGAGGTCTTTGCAGGAAATGGGAACACGTTTCCAACACACCATCTGAGAATATCGGTCAGTCTTCTCTAATTCTCCAGCCAGTCATCCCTGCTATGTTCTACATCAGGAAAGCATTAAGAGATCAGAAGACAAAGGCGGGGGGAGAGACAGAAGAAGCAAAAACACACCGGCACCATGAAGTTCACGCTGGACACTTTTACTGATTGAAGAAGCAAAAATCATGTCGTTTCTGCTGTATCTCTGACAGCTAATATTAAAGGTCACCTCACTCCTGGTGCAGATAAAAGCAGCCACGTGACTGGACTCGGCCCAAAAGTGTACAAAACATTTCAGGCTTAATTTTTTAACATGTCCATTTCCCCAAGAAGAACATTTAAACACATCCACAGCAACTGGAGGCCATGCTAGGTATATTCAGCCATCTACAAGTCATTTCAAAGAGCTCAAATGGCCAAAGCAAAATGGCAAGATAATCACTGTCTACTCTGATGAGCAAAGATTCCCCATAGTCCTAGGAGGACGTTTACCCCTTTATTTACACATTCCTGCGAGGAGCATTCTTCTGTTCCAAATGAACTGCGCTCTGAAGTTTCTAGTAAACAACAAACTCCGTCCGACAAACTGACCGCTGTTCTAAATAGATTGGCATGAGCTCTCCAAGGGAAAATCCTTGGAGAAACCATTTGGTACCTTCTACATATGGCAAAGTGAGGAGGAGCTGAGGAGCCTTCTAATCAAGGTGAAAGAAGAAAGCGCAAAAGCTGGGTTGCAGCTAAACATCAAAAAAACCAAGATTATGGCAACAAGAATGATTGACAACTGGAAAATAGAGGGAGAAAATGTGGAGGCCGTGACAGACTTTGTATTTCTAGGCGCAAAGATTACTGCAGATGCAGACTGTGGCCAGGAAATCAGAAGACGCTTCCTTCTTGGGAGGGGAACAATATCCAGTCTCGATAAAATAGTAAAGAGTAGAGACATCACACTGGCAACAAAGATCCGCATAGTCAAAGCCATGGTATTCCCTGTAGTCACCTACGGATGTGAGAGCTGGACCTTAGGGAAGGCTGAGCGAAGGAAGATCGATGCTTTTGAGCTGTGGTGTTGGAGGAAAGTTCTGAGAGTGCCTTGGACTGCGAGAAGATCCAACCAGTCCATCCTCCAGGAAATAAAGCCCGACTGCTCATTGGAGGGAAGGATACTAGAGACAAAGTTGAAGTCCTTTGGCCACATCATGAGGAGGCAGCAAAGCCTAGAGAAGACAATTATGCTGGGGAAAGTGGAAGGCAAAAGGAAGAGGGGCCGACCAAGGGCAAGATGGATGGATGGCATCCTTGAAGTGACTGGACTGACCTTGAAGGAGCTGGGGGTGGTGACGGCCAACAGGGAGCTCTGGCGTGGGCTGGTCCAGGAGGTCACGAAAAGTCGGAGATGACTGAACGAATGAACAACAACAACATATGGAAAAGAGCAGAAATTGTTGTTTTTCAAAAGTAATTCATTATCATTACAGTTATTATTATTATTATTATTATTATTATTATTATTATATTAACTTTATTTGTACCCCGCTAGCATCTCCCGAAGGACTCGATGCGGCTTACAAAGGCCAAGGCCTCAAAACATAGCATAACAAATACACAACTTAAAGCAAATCAAAGAATTAAGCAATATCAAAACAACAAAACAATAAAACAATACACCAAACACAGTAAAACTGGGGCCGGGCCAAATGTAATGGGTACAGATTAAAAGTGCTGATGTGACAGGTAGTATGTCGGATTTTAGGGTGAGTGCAGTATGCAAGCAATCTTAAAGTCTAATAAAGTGCTTCTGGGACCACTGGAGTTTTCCTATTCTGGAAAGGCACATCGGAACAGCCAGGTCTTCAAGTTCTTCCTAAAGACTGCCAACGTAGGGGCCTGTCTAATGTCTTTGGGGAGGGTGTTCCAGAATCGGGGGGCCACTACAGAAAAAGCCCTGTCTCGCGTCCCCACCAGACGCGCCTGCAACGCAGGTGGAATCGCGAGCAAGGCCTCGCCAGATGAGCAAAGAGAACACGTGGGTTCATAAACGGAGATGCGGTCACGCAGGTAGGATGG